CTCGTCCATGACCTTGGGGATTCCAAAATGGCTCTTTTTTTTCTAGACCGCCTAGAGCCCGCCTAGCCCTCCTAGCCCGCCTAGGTCCCGCCTAGCCGCCTAGCCCGCCTAGGTCATTTATTCAGTATAACATCATGGGTGACAGTGTGTCCAAGGATGGAAAGAGATGATGCTTATACTATTCCCACAACCTTGTGAGTATTTGCTAGACTCTGCGTGCCTTGAACGATACATGCCATTCCAAAATCTGAAAGTTTTGGGTTCGTGTTCTCATCCAAGAGAATGTTACTGACCTTCAAATCTCTATGTATTACCTTCAAACAGGAATCATGGTGGAGATAAAGAAGCCCCCTAGCAACACCCTGAATAATCTTGAAGCGTCGACCCCAATCAAGCAGTGCTCCTCCTGTCATTGGATAAGTAGTGGGTTCGCTCTCCTCATCATCAACGCGTAGTTTTTTCGCAGGGTTGATGAGGAACTCAACTCCTTCATCACAACCAACTCTAGCAGCAACGTGGAGGGGAGTTTCACCCTTGTTGTTGGTGGTCCCAAACAATGGCGATTGTGGTGGGATTAGCATCTCAATTGCTTGTCTAATTGATTTATGAATTTAAAATCCATGCACAGGTTTTGCCGAGGGTTGAGGAGAATATAATTACAACAGCATATTATGGACTCAGTTTAAACATTTTTGTTGAAGTGATCATCTCCAAAACATCTCCAATTGCAGCATTAGTTTGGACCTTTTGCCCTAAACTCACACTATTGTATCTATCTGCACTTTTTAAAAACTGATATTCCAGAGAGAAGAAACTAGAAAATAGTAAGTAATACCTAACCACTAGATGTTCCATCACATCAGATTTGAGACAATTGATCTTTCAAAAATATAACATTGAGATTATTAGTTTAAAAGAATTTGCCTCTGGTATTTTCATCTGTGCGAGTAACTCCTTGGCTCTTTGCTAATGCAGAACCTCGTTGCTAAACTTGGAGTTCAGAGGATCACAGGCATTGCTCTTTTCAACACAAGAGAGGAACAAACATACGACCCTTTGCCAGATTTGGAGGTTAGGTTCTTTTTTTCTCTAAGAAAAAAGTAGTTATGTTAGGTATCCATCTGCTTTGTCACCCTTTCATCCAGACACATAATGCTGCTAGATTTTTAATGTGCTGTATTTGCCATCTAAACTACAACACCAAATGCTTTTGGTTGTCGTTCTGTTCTGACCAGTCTTCTGGACTGTTGCAGATTTTTGTAAGGACCAAGCCAACCATCTACAGGCCTTGAAACGTAGTTTTTTTTATAGTTTCCAAATCTTATAGTTGCATCTGATTTCTCTTCATGCTATACGGCGTTTCTGTGTAAGTGGATTGTACTTGTAATTAGTAGTACGTATAAATTCAATTAGATAGGTATTTACCTAATCAGCAACTAACTTATTTGTCTGCACACTTTCGGTTTCGGATTTATGGATAGGAAGCCTGCTTTTTTATACTCTGCACACAAAACATAACTTATGCATGTAGCTCCTTTAGTTTGCTTCATTTTCCAGTAACAAGTAAAATTTAAGAGCATCATATCAAAACTGCAGAAGAAGAGAAAGAAAGGCTCTGCACACGATATGAACAAGCATGATTCATGAGAAGGAGCTTCCATATAGTCTTTGGTGTGAAGCAGTGAACACATCAGTGTATCTGCGTAATAGAAGTCCTACCAAGGCTTTGGAGAATATTACGCCGTTTGAGAAATTCAGTGGAAGAAAACCTAGGATTAAACACCTGAAAGTGTTTGTTAGAGAAATAGAATCCTAGCAGGTATGGAAGAGAATATCAGGAAGTATATGAGAGAAGAGGAAAGGAAATAAACCAGAGAAAAACGATTAGAAGAATTCTTCTGTATTCTGTTTCTGTATTGAGCACTATCTGTCAGAGCCTATTAGCTCACTCACACACACAACGAAATAACCGTTGGAGGAGAGAGAGAGTTAGACATACTCCTAACTTCAATCTCAGCCATCCATTACATACCCTTAGATTAGGATACTTGTCCATTGCCAAGCCCTATGAGACTTAACCAACCGATACAATTCAAATATTTATAACTCAGCCTATGAGCTGAGGCCCAACCCACAAAGCAAACTACCAATCAGTTCACTAATTTATACACTAACAGTAAGCAACAAAACTCCTTTACTCCTCGTTAGGACTTCTCCAACCCATGAGGGGCTAAACTCAAATTTCCTCCCTCTAAAAAGTGACTATATAGGTTTTGCCCGGACTCAAATTGTTTTGAGAGAGAAAAATTTTAAAAGAAGCAAAAATGGACAAAAATGCCCTTATTTATTTTTAGATTTCCTAAGGAATCCAATACATTTGCATGTCTTTGATTTGAAAGTTGAGTGGTTTTTTTGTCTTTTTTGAAAAAGCTTTGGCTTTTTCCAAAAGTGAAATTTTTTTTATGTCTAAAACCTAAAAAACCTATTAATTTAAAATATTGTTTTGACCATTGGATTTAAGTTTCAACCGTTTGATCTTTTTTTTTTTTTACCATTAAAATAGTTTATATTTAATCTAGATAATTGATTTAAGTTACATTTAGAATAAATAAAAAAATAATAATAACCAAATAGCAACAACAGCTTGACAAGTGGCGGGACAAGCAGACAAACTTGAACAGCACAGCAGGTCAGCTGGGGCCCAAGTCAAATTCTGTGCACATGGGGCTGTTTTAGGTGTAGTGGACTCCATTGAATAGTGTTGGGTCCAGGCAATACTTAGACCTATATTTGGGTCCAAATTTGGGTATTCCCAAATTTTGGGTCCTTCATTTTCTTGGATTGGGAGAGGATTTGGGCAATATTTTGAGTTTAAGTCCTTGGGTTGGAAATGGCCTTATAGTGAAAATCGAATACACCAAAATTTTCTGATGGGTTGATGTCATGTCAAGAAAGAAAGAAAGGAGTCTGATATCTGAGCATGAGAAAGCTTGTACTGATAAAATTGCTAAATTGGAAAAGTCCTTGAAAAAGAAGAAGCACGTAGTACCCCTCTCTCTCTTTCTCTTCCTTGAAAATAAAAAGAAGCAGCTTGTACTGATATCTCCATGTATATATATTTGTGCAAACATGTCTCAAAACCACATTTTCTGTTTATAAACTCAGGATGACAGAACTTGCAGCGAGTACTTCAGAGGAGGACATCCCGGCTGATGATCGAATGAACATTCTACTGTTTGAGCTCAAGTCGAGGGCTAGACTCTGTTTTAAAAGAAATATTACAGCCAGGCGGCTATATCGGTTTTTTCAATTTTTTAAAGAAATAGTATAGCCGCTCGGCTATACTAGGTTTTTCCAATTTTTTTAAAAGAAATAGTAAAGCCGACCGGCTAGACTCTGTTTTAATTTTTTTAAAAAAAGAAATAGGATAGCCGATCGGGTATACTCGGTTTTCGCAATTTTTTCAAGAAATAGTATAGCCGGTCGGCCATACTCGGGATTTAAAATTTTTAAACTTGGTTTTTCCCATTTTTTAAAGATATAGTATAGCCGCTCAGCTTTACGCGTTATTTTAATTGTTTTGTAAAGAGATAGTATAGCCGGTCGGCGATACCCCTTTTTTAATTTTTTTAAAGCAATAGTAAAGCCGTGCGGCGATACTAGGTTTTTCGACTTTTTAAATTTTTTAAACAAATAGTATACCCCCGGCTATACCCCTCTTTTCTCCCCCCACCCCCCTTCTCTCTCCCCAATTTTTCGCATCAATCAACCCAGGCATGACAACATCCTTTCCAACTTGGATTTTCCATGATTTTCTTATTCTTTAACAATGGAAACGATCTTTCCCTCCTTTACCTCAACTGCTTATTTACGCATTTGATAAATGAAAGGAAATCAACCATTTGGTGCCAAAACAATAATGTAAAGCTGTAATCTGGTTTCAGAAATGTATAATGGACAATCGTCCAATTCGAAACTATTGTTTGCACATGCTTGCTCCATAAATGACCCTGTGAGGCGTCACGATGTCCTTGCTGGTTATCCAATAATGTTGGTAAGCAAGCAGGCTGCAGTTTTTCTGATATTGCTGTAAAAGAGAGTAAATTAAAGTCCATTATGACACTCATTTGCAATGCAGAGCCAAAACAGAGGAAGTCAGATACTCGGTAGAATTCATAAACAAACCAGCAAACCTACAACTTCTTTCTTGACGGGTTCTTCACCATCATCTACACAGAAATATGCTCATGGGTATACAAAATGCATTGGTATATACGCAGAAATTTGTTCATGCAAATTGGAACGTTTTTTGTTTGGTAAAACTTGTAGTAATAGTTGAGGCACCACTATAGAATTTAAAAAAAGGAATTCAGAGAGCAAAGTGACATTTAGATAATAGTTCAGGTTCACAATTTAGTGTACATTATATATTCATTTCACGTCGAGAAAGTAATCCCATTAAAAATTCTTGATGGAATATATTATATTGAAACAGATTCATTATCCATTGATCAATTGGTTAATATCTAAAAGCCACTTGCGCTGTTGTCCATTAACAGAGTGTACTATTCAAAAAAGAAAGTAACCCATAAAAGAAACAGAAATTAGCCAGGCAAATAAACACTTCAAGAATCAAAACATTACATTGCAAATGCCTCAATATCTTTTCTTCTATCAAAATCACATTTTGCAAATGTTCAGTGCTTTCTCTTGTGCAACTTTTCTATTGTGTAATCTATCCAAACACATTTGGATCAGATGGGCAACCTTTCATTAGAGTTCCTATGTGACGAAAACACCTAATTCGATCAAAGTTGAGCGTTCTATTGCATGTGACATCTAAACACCTCGAATTGATAAAGGTTTCTTTTAATATCTGAAAGTCTTTTTTTATGTTTGTGTTGGTTTTGTTTTTGGATTGGCTGGAGAGAGAAGAAAAGAGAATCTTGTTTTTTGTTTTTGTTTTTTTATGTTTGTATTGTTGGGTTAAAGTTCATGGGCTTTTGTTTTTTGATCTGAACTTCACTGGGTGTCTAGGTATTAAACAAACAAAAGATACCTAGTCAAACAAACAAAATGATACCATTGAACTTCTACCACCCACTCTAACAATTTAAGTTTGGCATCACAACCTGAGCCTGTCAATAGTTAAATCTCCTTCAAAACAACATTCATACTGCCACTATTATCATGTACTTATCAATAATAATAAACCCCAAAACTCAATTTCAAACTAAGACCCCATATTCACATAACATGATTATTTAAATAAAACACCAACACACACACACAACACCAGAAAATAAACCCAGTTAGAGATGAGAAAAACAAAATCATAAGATAAAAACTAGTTCAAGCATAAGAATATAATAGACCATGTTATGCAAATTGCAATTCATTTGTGACAAAAACAATACACGATGTAGACATCAAAAGATTAGGATGCATGGTATTTATGGCAAACGACATAAAAAAAAACACTTCTTTCTCCCTTACTTCAACTCTAGAGTACAATTAAGGGCGAATATCGACCATAAAAGAACGACCATAAGGGTCGAAAGAAAAATCAGGATTCGGCTCAAGTTCCGGGCACTCAAATTCCATGTGTTCACCTCGCTTCCCACATATTAAACAATCCTTGAAGAGTGCACGTCCTAGGGTTATGCCACAATTAGCACAACGCGAGTCTCTAAAGAAGCAGCCACATACAAGACATGTAACCACACAACTCTCACCAACAATTGCATTCTCTGGGACCTCATCAATGTAAGAGCATAGTTCTGTATGGTGGTCACCCACCTTTAAACAATACTTACATTCACCTGTGTGCAATTTGTAAATCCATTGTTAAATACAATGAAAACAATAAAAATAATCTTTTTTTAAAGACAATAAATGAAAGAAGATGATAAAACCCAAAAATCAGTATTACTACCACATTACATAAAATAACAACAAATACATAGATATTATATCATAAGAGAGAGAAAAAAATGTAAATATAAAAGGTGCATGCACATCTTTTTTGCCCCTAAAATCCAAAGCTTACCAATAAGATTAGGACTGAAGAGGCTATCGCTTACCAATAATATAGTTAGACTATTGCTTTTGTTCAAAAAAATCAAAATCAAAAGCATACCAATTTCTTCATCCTCGGATTCATCAGTCTCTGATTCATAATTCTCTGATTCATCATTCTCTGATTCTTCAAGCTGTGATTCTTCTTTAGGTTGTGATTCTTCAAGCTTGCTCACTGTTTCCATGCAATTACATTGTGAAAATACAAAAGAAAAAGAAGAAGGTGATAATTAATGCAAAGAAGTTATAAGGAATAACATCTATGATCCCATCAACAAATAACTATATTATTAAATATTGGTTATGCTTGATGCAAACACCAAAATAACTTGGCTAGAGAAATCATCTTTTTAACTTACGAGTTGTTTTCAACATGACATAGAACAACAACAAATGCATAGTATAGATATTATGTCATAAAATAGAGAACCCTGCATATATATTTTTCTTTCTTGTCTCTAAATTAGAGAGCATCCCAATAGAATTAGGAAGGCGGAGGCTAGACCATCTCTTTTATTCACACACACACACACAAAACAACATACCCTTAGGACTGTAAGGGCCCTGGAACAGATAAAAAAAATAATTGCTATGAAGTTCTTTCAGAAGTTCTTCTTTCGTTAGTTTTGTAGTCTCTGGTTCCGTCTTTGGTTCTTCGGCCTTGCTATCTGTTTACATGCAATTACATTGTTAAATATCAAAACAAAAAAATAAAGGCAAGAGAATGGGTTATGATGTCGAAGAAGTTAGAAGGAATAATATATATGATCCCATCAACAAATAAATACCGGCTATCCATCGTGCACATACCAAAATAATTTGGCTGGAAAAATCATCTTTAAAAATTGATTAAATCTTTTGGCATAAGATATATCCTCTAATTACAACAACAAAAATAAAATAAAAACAACACTTTCTTTTTTCCGAACCACACAAAGCCCAAGAAAATTTCATATAATCTTTCTCGGAAACCCTAAAAACAAAAATCAAGAGCATACCGGAACACTGGCACATAAGGGAGGACATATAATAGAACAATGTGACTGAGTGGAGGAAAGACAAAAAATTGAATATTTTCAATGTGAAAATATAATTTTTTATACACAGAAGCTGTGGCATAAAATTAATTTAAAGCTCAAGCAATTCAATTGCAGATAGTCTTGGTCACCCTTTGAATTAAAAGAAAAAGGAAAAGCATACACACCGATTATTGACGTATTGCAGTTGAGAGGGGCCATAGCTGGCGAGAAAAGGTCCTTTCCGCAGACGTTGTCCGTGGCTGTGTAGAGCTTGGTGTTTGGCTTTGCGGTTGAGAGAGAACAAAGGACTGGCGGTCGGGTGCAGGATGAATTGTGAGAGAAAGAAAGAACGGCGTTTCTTGCTTACATGTTATATGGGCGGTTTGGCTTGATTGAATAACCGACCATATTATGACCATTTAATCAATATTATTTTTTCCATTTCTGTCTAAATTAAATAATAAATTATCATTAAAAACTATTAGACCTCAATGCACGCATCTTTAATAAGCAGGGCATTTATTTCTAGTTTTGATTTTCCGATTTCGTTTGGGATTTTGGTTTTCTGAATTAGAGCAGGAATATTTTGGTGATTTTGATTTTTTTGAGTCCCACATAAAGGAAGTTAATTAATATGGGTTTTCCTTTGTTTTACGTTTCCTTTTATTTTCAAGTTTGTGCTACTACTTCCGAAATTTGTGAGTCTTGTTTGTGACTCTTGCATATATACTTCCAATCCAATCCAATCCCTCTGTCCTCCTTCCTCTTTTCCTTTCTTTCCATCTCCTCCTTGGAATTACGCATCCTCACTAAAATATTTTATTACTGTATCTTGATTGTCTATATTTTATTACTGTATCTTGATTGTCTATATTTTATTACTGTATCTTGATTGTCTATATTTTAAAGTTACCCTTATTTTAACCTCCTTTATTTGTCAGTTTTTAGTTCATAGAACTAGTCACAGAATAAATGTAATGAAAAAAATCTAATCTCAAGTCAAGTAAGCATTTATTTTGGTGGTTTTGTTTCATTTCTCTATTCCTTGAACTGGCCTCAATGTTCTTCTTCTTCTAACAGACCTCGTAAGCTCTGTGAACTTTGAGATCAGCAGATGGATTATCTAATTGTTAGTATCTCATTTCTAACAGACCTCTCTGGCCTCAATGTTTAATTGATGACAGAAAAAGTTAGAAACCATGAATTACACATTTGAACTCATTTCTAATTGTTAGCATCTCAATTGCTTATCTAATTGATTTATGAATTTAAAATCCATGCACAGGTTTTGCCGAGGGTTGAGGAGAATATACTTCCAACAGCATATTATGGACTCAGTTTAAACATTTTTGTTGAAGTGATCATCTCCAAAACATCGCCATTTGCAGCATGACTTTGGACCTTTTTGCCTAAACACACACTATAGTTTCTATCTGCTCTTTTTAAAAACTGATATTCCAGAGAGAAGAAACTAGAAAATAGTAAGTAATACCTAACCACTAGAATAGTAAGTAATACCTAACCACTAGATGTTCCATCACATCAGATTTGAGACAATTGATCTTTCAAAAATATAACATTGAGATTATTAGTTTAAAAGAATTTGCCTCTGGTATTTTCATCTGTGCGAGTAATTCCTTGGCTCTTTGCTAATGCAGAACCTCATTGCTACTCAACTTGGAGTTCAGAGGATCACAGGCATTACCGTTCCAGATTTGGAGCTTAGGTTCTTTTTTTCTCTAAGAAAAAAGTAGTTAGGTTAGGTATCCATCTGCTTTGTCACCCTTTCATCCAGACACATAATGCTGCCTGATTTTTAATGTGCTGTATTTGCCATCTAAACTGCAACACCAAATGCTTTTGGTTAAAGTTCTGTTCTGACCAGCCTTATGGACTGGTGCAGATTTTTGTAAGGACCAAGCCAACATCTACAGGCCTTGAAAGGTAGTTCTTTATAGTTTCCAAATCTTATGATTGCATCTGATTTCTCTTCATACTATTAAAGCGTTTCTGTGTAAGTGGATTGTACTTGTAGCATAAATTCAATTAGATAGGTATTTACCTAATCAGCAACTAGCTTTTAAGGTTTCTCTGGTTGTTTATAACACCAGTTTTGTGGTGTTACGTACATTACCACCAAACTTCGTCGTGTTCCCTGCAAATGAGGTTATAAAGAGGAGGTCTTTAATGGCAAAACAGAGAGTCGAGCAAATTGCTGATGGGTCCAGAAAAACTGCAGACTAGAATAGGGAACGACCCTTATCCAAATTTTTTAGTATAGCCGAGCGACGATACTCTTTAAATATGGGTATTCCAATATTTAATGGTATAGCCGAGCGGCTATATACCCTAAATATATTGCAACAATATATAGCTGCGCGGCTATACAATTTAAATATATTTCCATATAGTATCGCCGCGCGGCTATACTCGCATAGAAGAGGAATCCATGCTTCAAAAACTTGACCCTGGACACAATTATGCCAAGCTCATGGAGGAGTACTCAAAAAAAGATGGCAAACTTCCAACTCATATAGAGGTGACAGCAGAACGCAACAAAGAATCCAGGACAGTAACTTATGTTGTGGAACCAGGTGATATGGAGAATGATACTGCAATGGTGCGACATGGTTACCACTTCTATAAAATCTTCAGGGGCTTATTGTGAGATCCCATTTTTAGCTTCCAC